TATTATATTTTGATAATATACTATGATATCATATAGTAAATGATAATCATTCTTATGTAACTTAATTAAATATAACGATTTTAAGAGCAAACAATTTTTCGTATTATATTGTTTTATACACCAAAAAAACCATGCGCATGTGTGGCCAATCAGAACAATGCAATAATGTTTATGCAAACACTTTTGTTTACGTTTAATATTATTAATTTTAATGATGATTATTACGGTTGAACTATAACGGTTGGTAGAAGTATAATATAGTACGGTTGATTTCATAAATTAGAGTCATCATAATATTTGCGTCTCCTTCGCATTATATTATCATCATACTATTATAAATTATAATCTCTTACGTAGTGTATCATCAACAACAAAAAAAAAAATCCTACTGAATAATAAACAAGATTTTTTACATTGTTAACAACTCAAGCGTATAACATAATAACATAATATGAAGTAAATTACAAATATAATAATTTACTATACCAGGTAACGTAAACCTATTTCGCGCATTGTACAAAATACCTACCTAATCGTTTCAAGTTGCATAGCAAATATGAACAAATAGGAAAACATATAATATAAATAACAATTATTAATTATCAGATACCTACACATTATATTGGCTAAAATCATATAGAAACATTTTAAACAAGTAAAATTCCTATTACCAGAATTAATTACGATACCAAGGACGTGCATGTATTTTAAATAATATTCAAAGATATTTTGCGGCATAGTAAAGTTAAAAATCTAGTTAACAAAAAAAAAAATAATTTATTTTTGTTATTTATCAAATTAATGTATAATACTTCAAAAACATAATTTTTTATTCAGATGTTCAGTTATTAATTCTTAGGAAATGTACACATCAAAGAACCTTGAAAATTACTCTTTATTTATAGAAATTAGTTAAAAATAACAAATCCATCGAGCTGTACAGAATATTCCTCGGACAATTTATATTTGTGTTGTTTATTTTAAATACTAGACCATTGAAAAAACATTAAACTTCAGGGTGTCTCGCACTTCATCACATGTATTATAACCGCATATATTCTAGAATAAAAAAATTTTAAAATTAAAATTCCTACAGAATAGTAATGTGTCTATCTGATTAATAATGTATTATTTTTATCATTTACGTGTAACATTGTCATCGTCTTGACTGTTACGATTATTGCAGTTGGTAACCGAATTTTATACGGATTTCTAAGGCAACGTATAATAATACAATAGCTGTGTGTTGTTATAACTGTATTTCCGCATAAAGGCCGCGTTAGACGTCGTCGTATAATTACATAATATAGATCATACCACTCGCGGGAAAATATCGATTTTTTTTTTGTTGTTTTTTTACTCCTCGGCTACTCGCGTAATTGGCCAAGAGGGGGGGGGGAGGCGTCAGAGTTAAATACGCACCACCTGTGCACTATAATAGTATTTTGGTGCCGATATTATGATTTCGCGGCACGGCGCCGCCGGGTAATAATAATAATAATTGTATCACAGGTAAACAATTTCGTAGGCGCTGAAATGCTAATAAACCCGCCGCCACTGCTGCAAATATGCGTGCCGGCAGGTATGAGTTATGCACAGAATGTCGTACGACGATTAATGCGCAATTTATTACAGCGTATAAACATACTCGCGTTATACATCTTTAGAATGTTATATTATATATTATACCATGGTCGCTTGTGTGCAGGGCATAAACCAACGGCGGCGGTATAATAACATTTTAAAAAGCGCGCACGTCGAAAATTACACATAATACTTAAAACGCGCATACTTCGTAAAGAATGTCGAGGAGTCTGATCGTGCAGTACAACACTGTCTGCCTTTATACGACGCGGTGGGTGGTGTGGGTACATTAAGCTCTTATAATAATAATAATAATAATATACACAACGTGTGCATATATATCGTGTGCGAAAGTTTTAATAGAAAATGTGTAATATTTTTTATCTTGTGCGCAAGGTGTTGCGAAAGTTTTAATCAAACTTTTCGCATGTCATACCTCAAAAAATCGTGTGGGACCGATACAATAATATGATAGACTTCCCGTCCGCAGCCCACCAGTGATTCTAACGCACTCGATAAGACCTGCACCCAAAGAAACCGAATTAAATCACAGCCATGGAAATATCAAATATACAGTGTGATCACGATTTTAGGTACCACTGAATAACTCAGACGGGTGACTTTGTATTGAAATGGGGTGATAGGGAGGTGAAAGCGAGCACTTAAATACATGTTTTCAGACAAGTTTCAAATTTTTAGCTCACTCGGTACGCGCATGCGCAATACGACTTACTTTTTTTTAAACGGAGACCCCAGTTTTTTTCTGCTGGTTCGGGGAGGGTATTTTTTTTTAAACCATTATTGTATAAAAAGTTTTTTTCTATTTTCAAAACTAACCAAGTTAGAGTAAGTCGAAAATTGGATTTATGCATAATTCTTGTTTAATGATACTTTCATTTATAACCACTGGAAATAATAAAATAAGTGTGAAATAATTAAACATTATTTTTAATGTATGGCAACAGGAAATATGTATAACAGCATGTGATATTTTAAGTGAGGACCAAATCAAGGCGGCAACTTCGACTGAATATTTGAAACTGGGGTTTCCTTTTAAAAGAAAGTAAGTCATATTGCGCATGCGCGTACTGAGTGAGCTAAAAATTTGAAACTGGTCTGAAAATATGTATTTAAGTGCTCCCTATCACCTCCCGAAAACCTCATTTCAATACAAAGTCACCCATCTGAGATATTCAGTGGTGCCTAATACCGTGATCACACTGTATATATATTTTTTTAATCTTATATAGGTGAGTCGTATACTAAGTAATCTCGCTGTCGAAACCGTATAGTTCAAAACACTAATTGTCGTACGATATTTTTTCGTCCAACACGTGATGTGTTATTATGGAAACAGTCGTTTGTGTATATATGTTTGAGAATGTTTAGTTGGTGCTGACGTAAAACGTTTTAAACATTTTTATGTGTGGGATCTCGATCATAGTCGTACAGTTTAATTTCCGATGGAATATCAAAAAACACGAGTTAACGTAAACAAAATATATTATAATAAAGTTATTCAAAACATTAGTCTTCGTGAATTCCATCCGTCTATAAGTCAATAATTCGTTTCGATTTCTTAAAAAATTGCCTAACACATAACAATCACATCAAATATAATATACAATTATTATAATTATGAACTTTGGTCTAAACATAAAAATATGTTTTTTTTCGATATTACTTTCATACGGATCATTTTTCAAAATAAAATAGGTATTTTTTTCCGACGTAATAAGTTATATGCGATGAGCCACATGATTATGTTTAAATCGAAAATAAAATTAACCCAACTTACTACGATTCAGTTCCACGCGAAAAAGATGAATATCAAATGGGATCATGATAATCTTGCACCTTTGACCATTGATGAAGAAGCATAATATTACGTATAAAAGATCGATTTTTAAAATATAAAAAAATAACGATAAAAGCTATTGCGACTATGCTAATATACCTTTAGGTATATCAAGTATAATAAAAAAAATGAATCGAAAAAACATATTTATGGTAAAATTTTATTTGGTTCTCACTTCTCATTCAATCAATTTTATGTTTAAAGATATACTATTGTTCATACGTCAAAACAGACCTGTCTGAATACTTTGTATCATAAATAGATTTTCATTAAAAATATCCATATATACAAGAGGTGGGCACTGTCCATGCGCGCACAGGGAAATTTAAACATTAGAAATTATCCGATATATGATGCCGACAAATTGAATGTTTGTGAAAATCTGTGAACATGTGGTATAACGTAGGTCAGGTAATTATTTAAAATTGATTTTTTCGATCGATTTTCATATCGTTCTGTCCATCTTCAACACATTGAGTACCACCTCTCAGTGTTTCAAGCGCGTTTCTCGTGAGCCATATCAAAACTAAACCAATGATTGAGTCATGACGTCGGTCTCTCATGACTATAATATAACATTATCACCCACTCCACCATAAATTAACGAAAAATTGAATTTAAAATATAACTTATCTCTAGTGCAAACGATATAAAATTAATTTGTATTCGATTAATTTTTTTATTAGCTCTAACCTTTTTTGGAAATCCTGGTTGTGCCACTGTCATCTCACATTTTTTTTTTTTTTATCTCAAAGCAAAAAAAACCCGGCATCTATGGTCATTAATTATATAGTTAAGGCGTAATTTATTTACAAATATACAAAGGCCTATGAATAGTACTTCATTGAAAGTAATCAGTAGGTCAGCATTATTTATAATGCTAATTCTAAGTAACTAAGAGCTAGTGATATCATATCCATATTTTTTTTATTGAGTCTTACAGGTTTGTTGTTTTTAAGAAGTATAATAGCTTGGTGTGGTCCTCGGTTTGTGGTCCCAGTTCAGTGTCAAGGATCGGATCTAGACTCGTCTTTGAGACATTCGGTTATAATATGTTTGACAGTAATTTTAACACCGCAGACTTTACATGTGGGGACTTCTTCCTTTGCCATTAGGTAACCGTGTGTAAGTCACGTATGTCCAATCTTCATTCGGTTTAGTATCGATTCTTCTTTCCTTTTATGATAGCTGTTTATCCACCTGTTTGTAGTTCTTCTAACGGTGTTTAGTTCGGTGGTTTTTTACTTCCGTGTACTGAGCCATTGACTGTTGGTCATCTCTTTTATGTGCTCGAGTAGATAAGCCCTGCACGTTATTACCGCATTTTTGGTGGCAATTTCGGCTTGTTAGTCGGTTAACTTATTTCATTTGGGGCCCGTATGTCCGGAATCCCACACGAGAGTTTTGAATTTGTTTGTTTTTAGTTAACGCTTCGTTTAATTTGTTCCGAATTTTTATCGCGATGTCTTCGGAGGATTTGAATTGGTTTTTTATGCTATTGGGGGGTATCACGGGTTAATAGACTATATTATTAATAATGCTACTGGTGATTTTGCAGGACACACCAGACAAGGTCTCAAGTGTCGGGTGTGCAAGATGAACGTGCACTTGGACTGCCAGGAGAAAGTCACCACTCGTTGTCAGGTGAAGTCACGGCTGTTGCGCCGCCAGAAGTCTACGTCAGAGATCGAGACGAAGATGGCGGCAATGAACGTGGCGGGCCGCGACGACGATGAAGGTAAGCCGGAACATTGCTTTCGTACACATCCCATACAATGATAATATAATACACTACACAATGGTATTATTATAATAATATTATAATAATTGTTATCATGACGTTATATTATTACACTATGTTGGCCATGTCTCGTACCGAAATAATATTACAGGACGCACTTATGGCGGTTATACGACACACGCGCATGTTATAATCACCTATATATATACTATGCGCATCTACACCGTGTGTCTGGGAGAAGTTTTCTGATATCTATATTAAATGTAATTAATGATTTGAGTGTGAAATCTAAAAAATCTTCCAGATTCGCGTTAGGTACCAATATAGTATAACCATTAGGTACAATGTTTTTTTTTCTTTTTATATAATATTATAAAAGAGGACTGCGGTGAGTCGCGTTAAGCGTTCTCTGCAGTGCTTTCAGATTTAAAATAACATAAAACTTTCACATGGTACTTACATGCGCGTGTGTGTGTATAACGCTTGTACAGTGTAATATGATGTCCGTATAATATCATATATACTACGCGTATATATATATATGCTATATACGTTCAAGAATACTCACCATCAATGTACATATTATTATAACTATAATATTATATATTATACATATATACCCCACTCGCAAAACAGTGAAGTGTTATTATTTTTATTTTCATTTTTTTTTTTAAAAAACAAATTTTTTTTCGTTATTATTATTATTTAATACTTATTATTACTAAAAAATTCAGCTTTCCAAAGTCGTTGTGTACATACAATTTATGTGTACATATACGTGTTATACGTAGTAGGGTTGTAAATAACGATGAAATATATATATATATTATTCTTACGGACTTTTTTTATCATTATTTCCTGTTTTTTTATTTTTATGTTTTTTTTTTTGTGTATAAAATCCATGCACGCTGTTCGGTTTGATTGATGTGTTTATATATATATATTTATTTTATATTTTAAACGTCTAATTGTTTATTTCCTCATTTCATATATATATATATTTAAAAAAATACTAATTATTACCCATATAGGTACCTACGTTCACTGTACAGAGTAACTATAAATTTCTATCGTTCGACATGTTAATCAGACGTAGGTTGTGTGTTTACTGTATACCCATATAATAATTTTCTATCATCGTTATCATTATATCATTATACCTATCACCACGACGATCGACCACCGTACACAATTAACCGAATGCCCAAAGTGTTAATAATATCATATTAATCGTATTAGTAAATAAAGTAATTATTGTGGTAGTATATATAAATAATGTAATATTGCTTTGCGTACTAATAAAATACGAAATATATATGTTTTAAATATCATATACAGTGTTTACACCCACAGACGGTTCGTTGTGGGGTGGCGTCGACCGTGTACGTTTTGCATATTATACAGCCCACTAATAATATTAAATAAACTTCCCGTTTGCCACTGTCCACCGTGTACCACCCAAACCTCCATTTACTGGCCACTGTCGCCACTGGTCGTGTTCACGGGGCATGATGATGATGGCGATGGTGGGCACTTGGTGTGTGAGTACGAAATGTTCAGTGGCGGTGCAAGAGTTGTTTATTATTTGTATATTTTTTTTTCAAAGCATAGAATCTCGCGACGACAATTATTATTTTGTTATAAATGTATTTGCGTCTGACGATAATTATTATATTCTCAAACAATTCACATCCGAAACGAACGTGGTACACGACGTGTATACGATAAAAATCTTAACGTCTCACGACGAACATAATATAAACGTTTGCACCGCCACTGCTTGTCATATTTCGCACACGGTAAATTGTTTAGCACTCACGACACTTTTCATAAAAGTCGGTTATTTCCTCCCCCCCCCCTTTAACGTCTGCCGACGTATCCGATACATTCATCGAGAGATCTGCGATTTGTTTTTTTTAATACCAAACAATATTCGTTAATTAAAACTGAGAACGGTGTAGATTATGCGCTCGAATTTAAATCCAACACTTAGATGACCCGTCGTCGCGTCACGGAATTATTTGAAAACAAACAGATGGCGCAAAGTTTGCACAAACTACAAAACTATAATATTATTATGTGTATATATATATATTTGTGTGTGTTTAGTTGTATATTATTATAATACTCGTCTCATTGGCGTCATCGTCTTTGGCGCATCCTACTCTAAACACACAGATTGACCCGTTCAGAGACTGCCGCCGGGTGGCACGATGGGAAGGACTATAATACATATACTCTCAGCCTCTGTTTCTGTAACTCTATCGATCACTATATTATTAAAGTTATCTTAGCTAATAATATTATTTCTCCAACGTTATAGAGACATGAAATTCGTACCAATATTATTATAGTTAGACATAAACTATACGAAAGTCTACTATTTATTAAACTTATAACATTCTCTCACTCCGTTCAAGACTTCAAAGCAAACAATGGCATTTTCATGAGACATAATTTGATGTTATTTTTAACAGATCATTACATATTTAAAATTGATATGAATCCGTCCAATACTTGGCTTGAAAAAAAAAATCATTCGAAAACTTGACACGTTATATATTCGATTCATTATATTGAAATAACTATAAACTGTTGTGTACTTATTTACTATGTGATAACGACATCGTGAATTAAAACCAAAATGTCAGTAATATTTCCAAGTCAGTAGATGATTATGATTGAGTCAAATAGGGGCGTATGGCACTAAAAATGTTTTATTTCTTAGAAAATACAATGATGTACTTATCATATACAAAATAAATTTGATCTATAAAATTCGCTGTAACGTCTAAATCAAATATAGATACATGATATTATTTGCTACAAGTCTCCCAAGTATTATGGAATGAAAAAAAAGGAATAAAAGAGTGAAATGCAAAAACGAATACAAATAATATGCACCAAATGAGGTTGTGACTATCATTCTTGAGTTCCATATACCTAGTTTTTCATTTTGTCATTGATTATTTATTTCGTATTCATTTCTATCACAAAATGAATAGTTTTTGCTTCGTTGTTAAAAGTATTATTACGTTCATATATTTTATTGTACTTACCTTTTTACTTCATTGATTACCCAGACATCAGCAGTGAGTTCCTTTTTTATGTAAATAAGCTACTATATTAAATAAATAAATACACTCAAATATATCAATTTTTAGAACAAATAATTATAATTAAATATATTATCTACCCAAGTGAAATTATTGTTTTTTAGATTTACTAAACACGTATTATTACTGTTATGTAATATATTTCACTAATACATTTAAAATTTCTATTAACTAATTTTCATATAATATTATAATAGTAATAATGACATGTTACCCAGAAAATCAAAAACCATCAAACAATAAGGATATTTTAGTAATTAATGGTTTGACGTGAATACGTGCAGATTATAAATTCAAACAAAAGAAATACATTCTGATGGGTTTTCAAAATTCAATAAATCACAATTAGGTTATGGTTAATTTTACATATCGTAACAATATAATACGACGTGGCAAGATATTTGAGCTTATTATTCAACCAATTTTGTTGACCTAACACAATACGATAATTCATGCGATTCAAAAACGATTAATTCATAATTTCAGTTATTATTCCTTGAAGAAATAATATACAACGTCAAAATATCCCAACAAATCATAATAATTTAAAGAAAATAACTAATGTACACATAATAATATACTTAACGACGTGCGTTTAATCGTACAAGCACGAAGTCCTATGTATATAATTTGTATTATTAAATGCTTCTCACTATTCCATTAATTTCACTTTCCATCTAGCTGTTCGGTGTTGAATAAATATACAGACGTATTATAATTTGTTAACCTGAGACGTTTATTAAAATCCCTTGCTTTGATAAATATTTGAGTTCCTAGAAAATGAGATTTCACTGTAGAATTTCAATGAAATAAATAAAAACGAAATATTATGGAGGGGTATGTGTTATGTTGTAGATATTATATCTGTTTGTTTTCAAGTGCATGCGTGTTTGCGACGATGGAATTAATTTTTATTTTATGTTATCAAATTTTAAATATTAAAAGGAAGTAAAAAAAAAAAAAAAGCGATTTAAAGCAAGTTCCGGTACAGCGCACCAAAACGTAATAACGATAAATTATATAAACGTATGTTCTATAAAATAATAAAATCTATAGAAAAAAAGTTACCTCGTTACGATGTACATCAACCCTTTAATACAGTAATAAATAGGACAAATAGGTACATTACATGAGACAATTTTAAATTTCTAAATAACCTAGAAATAATTATTTGTTTTTGGTAAATTATAAATACGTTGAATTTCCACAAATAATTGTACTCTCATTCCAGCTATTTAATTTAAATTAAATTGTTTAAAAAATGTTCACTTAATTCCAACTTTAACACCACACAAAATACGTTTTACTGAGATATAGACAACAACTATAAATGTCTTGAAACAATTCATGAGTTATACTTGTTAGCAAATCTGATTACTATTTAGTGTATATATTATTATTTTCTTAGACGAAATAAAATATAGATAGATCATATTTATCATCATCAATATTATAATACTATAGTTATCATGTTCATGTAGGTAACAAAATACTGTTCAATATACCAAAGGCACCACATAAGACAATATAGTTTATGCTGAAATAGTCGAAATATATAATATATCGATACTACAAGATACATCGATAACACACTTTATGCTAAATTATATGTAAAGACGTGTCTTGTAGTAATTGTTTACAACCACAACGCATTAAAGAAACTATGCATTTCCTATCACCATTTTAATAAATTTGCAATATTTACATCACGTATGAGTCGAGGCAGACTCTAATAGCGCTCACACATATTATGTAGATGGTAAATCTTGTTTAAATTCCATAATAAAATTCGTATATTCTATTCTCAACATTTAGTATTCACTCTTTAATTTGTGGTATAATTTATTCTATAGAACAATGTAATAGTGTAAGTTATAATGGTTAATCTAAGATCTATATGATTTAAAATTATTAATGACTGAAAGGAATAATGCCACATTAATGCTGATACAAATAAAATAATATATTGTCATACTAAAATTAATTTTATAGAGTTTCAATATAAAATACATCTAATTTATATGATGGTAATTAGTAGAATTGTATAAGGTTCAAGTAATTTTTTATCCATATTATATTCAATCAACATTATTTTTAATATTTAATATACCTACATTTTCATTGCCCATTTATCAGAAACACCTTCCCAGTATTCTATCAAAATATCCACGTGTTTAATGTTTATTACAATAAATATGCATTGTTATATATTTTAATGTTTTTCACAGAACATTATATTTGCACCAATGATAAATTTAAAATATTTTAAGCGTACAATTAGTTATTTACATAATATTTTAAGACATTTAATATTATTATAATATTACGAATAAGATTAATATACTGTTGAGGTATATACTCTATTCAGAATAAGAAAGGTACCGGGCGGCGACTGGTTTTCGTCCGGAGGCGGTCAGATGCTTCTCCCACCACGGCAACCACCTGGTCGGCATTCGGAACGACATGCGCACAAGTCGGTCGTCCGGTACCTTTCTTATTCTGAATAGAATATAGATATTTTATGGTTTCGTTGAATATATTTTGTATGATTACCTACTTCAAAACGTGTAGTCTATGTGAATAAGAAATAATATTGTATGTTATTAATAGAAATATTAATAACTACCTAATTTGTACGTTTAAAATATTGTTTGCCTATTAGGTACTATTCACAAAGTTTTCGGTGACCTACATAATATAAGTGTAACACAGGATATATTGGTGGGTAACGGTCGTAATTAGGTGCACCAGAAAATATGTTTGCAATATTATGACTACAATACTGCAGTATCGATATAATATACATGAATAGGCAACATAGCTCCATAATATAATGATAATATTGTGTGCTATCATCGTGTGATGTGATTTTGACCACCGAATCGCACGACTTGCTACACGGCCTTAGAGCTCTGCAAAGAACGATATTTTGTTTTACAATTTTGAACGCATTGTATATATATATATAATAATAATAATAATAATGTAAAATATATCATGTTCGACGTTTATGAGTTTGCTTTTGACGAGTGTTTCGATTGTGAACCTATATATATATTATACACGGAGTGGTGTGAACATTTGCACAGAAAAAAAAAACATTTTTGCAAAATTTTGATTTTGAATTTTTTTTTCTTTTGATTTTTATTTTCGTTTGAATTCATATACGTAATATATATACGTGTGAGTGCGTGTGTGTAGATGTGTGAAAAACACACCTACACACACTCACACACGTATATATAATATATGTATATGTATATGCGTGTATATTATGTATTGTTTCGTCGTCGTGGACGTGTGTGGTGTGCCTATTTTTTTTTTTTTTTTTTTGTTCTTTTTTCTCTACCCGTATGCGCAGTAATTCCCGGTGCGGACGGCGGCGGTGGTGTTGGCGGTGCCGGTGTTGGTGGTGTTGGTGGAGGAGGTGGTGGTGGTGGAGGTGGCGTTGGAGGTGGTGGAGGCGGCGGTGGGGGCAGTGGTGCAAGCGGCGGCCTCCAGCTGCAGCTGGACGGCGCGGGACAACCGGTCGACCAGGTGTACCAGGTGCTGAAGCAGGCCGGCGAGATCCGCACGTCGCCCAGACCGGGCGGCGGGCCTTCCGGTTCACGGCAGCAGCAACAGATGGCCGTCGGCGGGCCGCCCACTGAACCACTGCCCAGATCGTCGCCATCGCAGCAGCAACAGCAGCAGCAGCAGCAGCAACAGCAACAGCAACAGCAGCAGCAGCACCCGCAGCAGCACCTGCAGCACCCGAACAGTTTAGGTAGACCGGGAACCACGCTGAACGTCACGTCGCCGCCAATCGCGTCCAGCTCAGGTCTGCACGGCTGTGTGTGTGTGCGAGTGTGTGTGTGAGTGCGTGTGTGCGTTTGCGTGTGCGTGCGTGTGCGTTTACGCGTCCGCACACGTAACAAATCGACAAGTCGTATTTGTTGATGTTGTTGTTGTTGTTGTTGTTGTTGTTACGAGTGGACTTGATCCCCGTATTTTTTTTTTTTTGCATGCATTTGTCTCGTAACACATTTTTTGTCGTCTCTATCTCTCTCTCTCTCTCTATGTCTGTCTGTCTGTTTGTATCTTTCTCTCTATATCTATCTAGATCTGCACTACGTAGACACACTGTCATCTGTCTTCAATGATATTATAATATTATTATAGTGCCGGGCGACGTCGTCCGGAGGATTGAGGCGATTGCACGTATTTAGGCCGTCGAATCGTCCGGACACGCCACCCGCGCTTATAATAATTTACACAAAATAATATAATAATAATATATTGTAATCGGTATGTACCTGCAACAACTATATCGTATACGCCGACGAAATGATCAATAATAATAATTGAGAGACGTCGATCGATTACGATGACCGGAAAACCGAAATTTACCCATTTTGACCACTTACACTACCACCCCAAAGTCCATGGCACACGGAGGTATACGATAGTAATATTATGCAGTAGGTACATGTCATCACATTATATTATTATAATTTATTTGTTATTGTTCGACGATTGTCGATATCAATAACATTAATTTAACATCTTCGCTTATTGTCTCTGTAAATAACATACGACGGTGGCGTGTCGCGCTTACTATTATTACTATTATATTATTAATGTTGATGTTTTGTGAACGTTGCATGTTAACGCTTCTCGACTTTGGGCAAGCTGAACTCTTTTATTTATTATTACAAATAATATTATCATCTTTAATTATTTTGATAAAACATATTAATTATTTAATACTTTTATAATTCCGAATACATATATATACCTACATTTATATGCGTTTAAATGAATACATATACATATATATTATCTGCAGGTTCATAATTAGTTTATGTATTGTATATATATATATATATAGTATATATACATATAAATATGTATATACCTATGCGTAATATCTATATATGCGTATATGCACCCTTCTCTCTTCGAGAAGTGTATATTATATTATAACCAATAGGTATTATCATTACTATACTATTGTTATTGTTTTATTTATTATTTTGGCTTTTAATTGGCCCGGTACCTCAGATGGCACTGATAATAGTGGGCCTATTATAATTAAAAAACCAAAAAAAAAACCATTCGAAAAATTGCGAATTTCTCATGTCGCGATCGTGATTGTCCTATCCTAGCGGAATCACACGTCGTCGGCACGTCTTCGGCCTCCTGCAGACTCCCAGAATCGGCAGCACCCAGAAGGCGGAGACTGTTCGGCGGCGTCAAGAGCTTTACCATGTTCGGTGGCAGGTCCCAAACACAAGGCCGATCGATATCGTTACCCGAAAGTACGAATTTATATCATTTTGTTTCTTCTGAGCGCAAAATTCTTTTTTTATTAATTATTATTATTTTATTTTATCATAATATTTTTACACATTTACACTTCAAAACCATATTTTATGATTACTATATTCTTTTTTTCGATTATTTTATTTATTTTTATTTATTTATTTTTTATTTTTATTATTTTTTTGTTTTTTCTCTTTCTTCACTCGTCGTTACCTGTCGCGTACACAGAACAGGTTAAGTACGCGGCGGGTACGAGACCGTTTGGACAACCCCTAGTGTTACCCAGTCAACCCCCAGACGGAGACCTGCAACAGCCAGTAGACCTTCAGCTGCAACCCGGACACAGGCGGAGCTTGATGGCCGGCGCCGTTATGGCGGCCAAGAAGAATTTAACTTTTAAAAAATAACGATTTCCGACCGACCGCTCTCGGAAAATCTTCCTCCACCACCTCCACCCATCTATATTGTCCCCACGCCCGTCACCTATATTGTCCCTTCAAATTACTCCATTATATAATATAAAGCGAGTTATTTGATTTCGAATTTTTAGATTTTAAGACGAAACGACGATATTCCTATACCTCTAATGGTAGATTCACAATAATATAGATAGGTACCCTCCTAATATTATAATTTAAAATAAATTACATTATACCGTAGGCATAGTTGACGATGTCCGAGAAACGCGCCTCGGTCCTTATTCTTTATTACGCCTCCCTTGCCTAACAGTAGACATTTTTTTTATTGACATAATTTTATCGCATACATAAATTTCTGGTAGGTACACTTATTTTTTCTGAGCTCTACCATTTTGATAGACGCGTGCCAGCTGTGTCGTCTGTTTTAAAATAACTGACATTAATATTAAAATCAAAAACTATAATAATTGTGTATGTCCTACAAACTTTTTTGCAACCCCACCCCCAACTCCACAACCCTGAGCTTTTTATTCTTCTATATAAATTGTTATGTTTCACTACTTATTCTTCTTCCAATACTATTAGTCAACGCTATATATATATATATATATATATATATTGCTCTTTTAATAACCTTATTTGTTAACACGTAGTATGTAATATATACGATACGATGGCTGTGATCGTTAAAGTTGTCACAAAATACGTATTACGACGAATACTTTCCAATATTTACTTATTATGTCTGTTATATTATATATTATACAAATGTCGTTGCACGGTAGCTTTTTCTCGTTTTCATTATCTGTAAAACAATATTTCACATTATATAATAATAATATAATTACAATATAAGAGCATGACGTCCCGACCCCCCCGTCCAGTTCCTCCTGAAGATAAAAAAAAAAAATGTAATTTCATCGATATTATACTGCCACTCCCCGTTTACTAAGCTTGTTATTATATTAATTAAACTTTATTCTTTTATAAATCACCATTGTTATACCGTGTTTTTGTTTTTTTCTATATACAAGGCCAGACCACCTGCTATACTCAGGGACAAGACAAGCATTTTTGGACTCGATCAGTCCCTACCGGTCTGTACTTAGCAACCACTCAAAAAAATTTAGTCTGATGATAGTCGTAGTAGAATATAATACATGCAGGTGTTTGCACCGTTTAGAACGATCCATTCATGTGCACCGACGCGAGTATTGTTGTAGGACAGTTTCGTGAATAGAAAAATCATTGGACAATGTCATTGTTATATTGTATTGCTTGAAGAACGTCCCCGTCACTTTTGGAAACTTTCACCCGAATCCTGTAATTAAGGGTCGAAAAACTAGCTCGTCCGATTGATAAATACATCTCATATATTATTTATACGTTCGGTCGAAGTTTGAATAATTAAAAGGCCCATCAAAATGTCATGTGCACGTTTTCAAAACTATACCAAAGGGATTTAAAAAAATTCAACTCATACATAATTCATCGACACAAACATTTTTGTAACCGACCGACCCTCGTTATTGCACTCTGTCATAATACATATTATGGAGGGCCTCGTCGTTCGAGACTTTCCGGAGCGAATGCGCATAACGAAACGTCGAACACACACACGAGCTTGTAAAAAAAATTCAACTCATATTCATCATTCGTACTTACCTATACTACCTGCCTACCTGCCTACCTACCTCATATTATGTGTATCATATATATACTTGTATATGTGCAAATATTATATTGTCGTCGTCGAAATGCTCGTTTAACACACAATCGTATGTCATTGTAATTATTGTCCTTGATCGGCTTTCACCCGGTACGCATGTCGTCAGTGTACGGAATCCGAAAAGTCTGCGCCCTGTGGCTATCATATTATAGTTATTGTTCTGATGTCTTAGCAAAACTTCCATAATATGCATGTGCGTGTCGTAGAGTGTAGACCAGTGGCGTAACTGGGTGAAAAACTTGGGGAGGGAGAAAAATAATGTGTTCACCTGCGAAATCGGTAAAAAAAAATTATACCATGACACTCAACAATTAAATTACACATATATTATTACTAACACATTTTGTTTTATTTTTAAAATTCTACTTTTGGGATGTTCAATTAATATAATCCATTTCTATCGCTATAACTAAACTATAATTTCTCCTAATTTTACTTTTTATCTTCAACAGCAATTCAGCTTCTCTTCTTTGATTGACTGTTTTCTTTTTTTCACAAAATAACTACTACTGACTGCACGTTCGTTCGATGATAAATACTTAAGAATTGCAGTTTATTAATTTGTTTATTATTTAGGGTATTCATATCATATGTATTTTTTCATAAATATATTTTATATTTATGTTTCATAATATTTTAATTATTTGTAGTAGGTACTATGGCAAGATGGCGTGTAGTTCAAATTCGTGCAATGGGAGTGAACAATTGTCTGGCCAATTTCATAAAATAAATATTAAAAATCCCAGTGAGCAAAGGATCTAGTCTCTTATAAAAAAAATATAAATGTCTGGTAGAGTCTATAACATTGGTATGTCTAAAGTTCGACCACTGATAAATATAAATTTTTTTACCATCAACTTTTTGGATATTATTTTTTAACAGTACCTACAACGTTCATTTTTTAGTTTACTTATTACTATAATATAAATTATTGTCCTGTTGTTGATTAAATAATAAAAAAATATCCAAGACTCCATCCCTATACACTCCTGAAATACGCCACTGACCTACGACATGTACATTTATATCATTAGGTTGCATTTAAGTAGCCGTATACGCATCATGTAACCATTTTACGATTGGTTAATCGTTGTCGAGAGCACTCAAATTCAATAATGACGTTGTATACAATATTTCATTGTATACCAACAAAGAAAAAAAGCTCGCAGATACTGTCGATTAAAATATAATATATAAAAAATTATATGACGGCTTACGATTTACGGTCTCATACGCACGATATAATTATTATTATTAATAATTGTACTATGTATTACGGTTATTATTATTATTATTACCATTTTTTCATCTGAACCACGATCGACGTGATCTGACGGAAACGCGTATTTATGGACTTACATGGTGTTTCACGGTTTCTGGCAAATGCGTTCGAAAACATATTTCGTGTTTTGAGAATAAAGAATTTTCTAAGGGCACTTACAAAACCTAACCCCATGCACCACAAGAATTTTCATGAACCAAAACCTCATTTATGTATGTCACACGTCTCAAATATTGTTTGCCTCGCCTAATGAAAATGTAAGGACTATATACTCAATAAAATAATAAACTAAAATTACTTTATCCATCCACGGAGAAACACAAAACAAGTTTTCGAATACACTCACAAACAAGAAAACACATATTAATTCTATCATTCTCATTGCCTGTGCGGAAAACCGTGAATCATCATGTACTGCAGGTTCATGACGATTTAACAACATCACATTTTCCCCCGACTTTGTGATGACAATTATTAACAACAGGTCTCATTGTTTTCTCTCCGTATTAACTATATCATACCATCATAATATGAATTACTGACTTTGTGTGTTGGTCATATGACAACAGTAACGTGTGCATGTCGCGTAGTCTTTAATTAATTATTTAATTTTTTTCTAATTTGGTATTACAATTTTGCCGCATGTCTTAGATCTTAGTGGCATAGATGCATTTTTTTTTTTTTTTTTTTTTTATCGTATAGTTTGTGTGCGAGTGGACGGCAAGGCGAGAGAATCGGCTGACCTCGTAGAAGAATTCATTGACGCACCTCTGAAAAAACTTCAGATGTTAACATAACCACTATTTTTTATGATGCACTCGTTTTCTCGGACAACCCTTGTTTTGATTTCTCGTTTCGAAGCAGAACATTTTGAGCTGTGTACGTCGATTGTCGGACCAACATATGGGTGGAAACCATTTCTTCTAAACATCCCTTGGACATTAAAATAATAATATGATCAATATACCTTAATGACAGTTTATTATTGCGTTTATTTACGGTCCGACACTATCGATGTACACGCCATCTTCACTTCAAAATCGTTCTGCTCCGCAAGTAAAATCTAAACACGTGTTGCCGATAGAACGGGCAGTGAAGCATAATAATATATTATACGAGCGTGATTCTCTCGCCCCGCCGTCCGGCCGCCCTGACCCACTCACCCCCGTCCCACGGCCCGCTCTCTCTGACCATGGGTGCCCCACCCGCCTGTGGACATTTACAGCTCCGCACAGCCCTCGTCGACCGAAACTCAATTCGCGCATGAAGAGCTTTTCGCTGGACTCGTCGGACACCGCGGAACAAGCGCAAAGGCGACGGATGGGCAGCAGTGGCAACGGCAGTGGCGGCGGCGGCAGCGGCAGCAGCACCGGACTACAACAGCAGATGGAAAGCTACTCGAATCCTCCGTCCTCGTCCAGATTGCAATGTACGTATGTCGCGATCCTTCCCGCCGCGAACCCGAACTATAAATACGACTAAAATTCCGACAAAAATAACGATCGAACTATACACACGAGTGTCGTACGATGACGTGATGATAATATAATATTAAAATTATCACTCTAAAACCGCTGATGACAACGGCATCTCAATCGTGCGGGGGGGGGGGGATATCGTCTCATCGTATTACACACATCCAGCGGAATTCAAAATTTATTTAAATAGGAAAAACCCCCTGTCGACGAGAATTCCACCTAATGTCGAAGCGTGTGCGTACTATATATCGTAGCCTATATTAATATCATAATATACCTACCGTTGAGCATTTTTATTTTATTTTGCCTGTAGATCAGATCATACATATTATATAATATATTGTTTATATTATATATTATTATGCAATTATTATATGAATAAGATTATATGATTATTATGATGATATCGATTCGCTCGGTGTATATGATGATATACTGGGTGATTCTTTTATCAAACAACACTCATTATTTCAAAAAGTGTAAATTATTTTGAAAATATTTTTTTACATAGTTTTAAGTCGCTTATAAAACAACGTTTTTATTAAAAAATTATATTTTTAAATATTTCAAAGTTTGATGAGCGGTGAAGTGGACAAACATTTCGCGGGGTAACCCCGAACCACTCCACTCCGCTCGTCTAAACTTTAAATACTTATAGCTCGTAAACTACTCGCTTCAAATTCGATTTTAATGTATCAAAATACTAAGAAAAATATTCTGCTTTGGAATATAAAATTAAAACCCTATGTTGTTATTCAAAAAAGTAAAAAATTAAAAATTAAAAAATTAAAAAAAACTTAAAGCGACTTGAAACTATGTAAAAAAATATTTTCAAAAAAATTTACACTTTTTGAAATAATGAGTGTTGTTTGATAAAAGAATCACCCAGTATTATATATGACATAACTTAACTATGTGTGTGTGTGTGTGTGTATATATTATCATATATACATTATATGCGTCGATATTATAAATACATATTAAATGTTTATAAAATTATGTTATTGCATGGTAATAATATCATAATGATATGATATATATATTATATATATATTTATTTAACGGTCATCGTTTTCATCCCTTAATTTTACTGTCTTTGGGGTGAGTTTTATACGCGTTATGCGTGTGTGTGCGTGTTTACTTTAATATAATATATAGGTATTGTCTGATGTGAACGGAGATGAGTGTAATGTGTAATAATAATTTTTGTTTTGCGTTTTAACGACGACGGTAGGTGTATACCTTTATTAATAAATTATTGTGCTATTATTGCCGCACACGCGCATTAACAAAAATCGTTTTTCGATATAATAATAATATTATTGCTGTGCTCATAGCTGTATATACACTGTACCTATTAATATGTATACATATTATTACACTACTGAAGTAGGAAATCCGAGGTCGTAACGACATATCTAAGGACTGGTAAAAATTACCGTTTGCCGACCGATAAAAAATATCAAAATTCAAATATTATCCACTCGTGATTGAGTTTCCTCGTCGTGGATATAATTTTTTTTTTCAAACTTTGTCCGCCCAAATAATATACTGCAGCGGTTGGTGGACGTATCGATCGTTTGACTACTTCAACTACTATTACAATAGGGTTATTACAGTATTATGCGAACGGCGAGTGCTAGTAAAATGGTACAGGAATAAGTCGAGATCGACACTTTTTAGAAAACGGAAAATTAAAAGTCTCGTTAACGGTACGGTTTATACTGTACAATATAGTTGACTGCGCATAACGACTTGATAATTTGAGATATCGTAATGTGAAATAAAAAATAAAATATTTCGACTGCGAATCGACTGAACCACTCCAAACTGCATATAATTTATTACATTGCATTCTCATTGAGCTAACCTACAAGACAGCTGCGGCGTAATAATCGACAAATGAACGACTCGACATATTTACTCTTTTACCGCCCACGCACCGTTCCAATACGTTTCAACCGCCGCGCCACCTTAACATTATTCGATCTCTACCGTACTTTAATACCTATTATTATTATTATAATAATATTATTGGTTATTGTTCACGTGTCGAAGACACGTCTTTTGAGTATGATAGTACCCCCGAGGGATTCGCACATAACACGTAAACGATTAATGACGATAATCGTACACTTCGTTTCGTTTCCACCGTGTGCTGCAGGTATGTGTATGTGTGACGTGCGGGTGTGTTGCACACGAAAGTGACGAAAAGCGAAAGCTCGAGAAACGAAAATAATCAAAATAATATTTAAAACAACTATATAGGTATAATGGGAGGGATAACAACACGACGATATTAAAATAATATTGTAATAGCGGTTTTACTCGCTGCATGCTTGTACGGACAATGGCTTTTCGCTCTTTCGAGCTATAATGTTATATATGTGTATATTATATTGTTATACATGTGACGTATGCGGAGATCGTATTTTATTTTGTTTTTATTATTGTTTTTGGTTTAGTCATATTGTATGTGTAATAATGTTTTTTTTTTTTTTTTTGGCGAATAATCGCGGCTCAATAGGGTGTAATGAATCGCTATACGTTGATAAGGCTCGAAAAAAAAAATAGACAAGCAGACTCGATATGTTGTTATAATGTTATATATAATACGCTTCGCTTTAATATCGTATTTGAATTTAAAACTATTTGTTTTTTAAATACTGCAGAGAAAGAGAGATAGTTATTGCGTAAAATGATGTTGAATGGACATGTAGCGTAGCTGAGTATTATAATATTTTATTATGTGTTATAGGTATAATAATTAATAATAAACGTAACATTATAATATTATATATATATATATGACATTGCAGTGTGTGTACAATGATGCCACCGTTGCGGAGTTATCTGAAAATATGAGTTGATTAAGCCCGAGAGGAGTGGATAATAATGTAGTGTCATGGACCCCCCCCCCTTGCTTCCCAAATAACCCCTCGAGCGAAGCATGTGCTCAAACTTATATTTTCAGACCGCATTGCAATGTTTTTTTTTTTTTTTTTTTGGTTTTTTTCTTACGGTTTATTGCAGCCGTCCGACGACTGAGAGAACCGTAAACATAATATTATGAAACCCCAATAGCATTGATTATATATATAATATGATGTACACACCGTTATTTGTTTTTATTTATTCGTTATATTTTTATTGTTTTTTTTTTTTTGTTTTTTTTTTGTTTTTAGTTTTTTTTTTTATTATTATTTTTATTATTATTATTATTATAATTGCTAACGAATCTAACAGATTTTTCACACCTAACACTATATTAATGTATTATTTTAGTCATTTCCACACGTCTGCCATAGTGTCATCTGCAACACCTCGATTCATGTATCATTGTTGGAGTATATAATATAATATTGATTCATACTAGTTACCTCCCAAATTATACAAAATACCTCCTAGATAGATATACCTGTTGATCGATATAGTTGACTCTATATATAGTTGCCTCCCGAAAACGTACACTACAATTTATAATGACGTATTATAAATGCCTCCGTAAACAAAGCAAGTTGTTTGGCAGACTAATGTCTAAAGTACCTACCTTCCATGTTTGTTCGTCACAAATTAAGAGGACATCATACCCGCATGTGTTGTCCCTATCTTAAAAACGTACAATATAATATCAAATTTGCGTTCAGTCGAACCAATTTCATATTGTAAGCTTTATTTTATGTTATAATAAATTTACCTTTTATTGAACCACGGGAAGAACACATTGTCTGTCGTCTGTGTGTACGTCGGTTTTTTATGATATTTGCATTTTTTAGAAAACCATACCTATTTTTTAAATATAATATTTTACATACTCATAATTAGTACAAAAATTAAAATATCATATAAAACCAAGTACAAACACAGATGATGTATTCTCACCATTAAGTTATATAATAGGTGGATTCACTCTAATATTAAAGCTAATGCACATAAAATTGGTTTTTCTGAACACAAGTTTGTTATTTTTTACGTTCGTGAGACATCGGCAACACATGTTAGAGTGACGTCCTCTGAAGTCATAAATAAAACGGGTGGTTGTCCTGAAATGTGATAAATTCGTAGAATATATAAAGGATGTATTATCCTCTCTTCCTGTTTGTACATATTATGTCGTGATCACGTGTCACAATAATATATCGACTGTCATAAATATTAATACTACTGCCCACCCATTTAGAGATTACAAATATCAGACGAAGGCGATGTTATCCGTGTTAGTTTCTGTTTTAGATTTTGGAAAGATTACGAATCGTTTTGTAGGTAATCACAGTAATATGATACTGTTCAATACCTGTCGACCGAGGGTGGAAAAACCTTTTTCGGGGGCGATACAATTTACCGAGAGCTTACCAATTACGCTTCAAATGACCTTTTCATTTTATACCAATTGCGCTCAAAATATTTTTGGGTCGATAGACTAGCTGCACTCTGTAGTTTTCAAGGCTAATTAGACCAATTATTATGTGGTAAATTAAATATTAAAGTAATATCAATTACCTATAGCATTGATTATACAATCAATACCTATAGTCTATATTATGTATTCCTATACAATTCAAGTTACTTTACTTTTGAATGAAATAGAAACATACAATTATAATGAACTTTTATTAGGTGCCTATACATGTTTCATAAAAATAAATGAAAACTTGTTTTCGTCCATCACTCAAATTCATACTTGTGTATGATGATGATAATGATGATTGATGACGTTTCGTAAAAGGCCAGATCATTTCGTAGAATATTGGCTGCAAATTGGCATTAGTATTTTTAATAGGTAGGTACATATTTTTTATTTATTTTTTAAATCAAAAAATATTTAACCAGCCATTCGGTGGCAACCAATTTTACAATACATAAGTTTTTGGTTTTAATTTAATTGAATATGCATATTTACACATCGATGGTTAGATGAAAACATTTTTATATACCTGAAGGTAAAACTAAAAAGAAACTTGTATTATTGGTAAATTGACCGTAAAAAATAAGGAGTGCATTTGGCCCATGTCCAATTTAGCAGCGTTCGCGTCGATTCGTATAAAATATATATTATCGACCGCCCGAGTTCGGGAGGCAACTAGTATGATGCGCCAGCGTCGTAGTGGTACATATACTACAATATTGTATATCATTACCTAACCATATACCATTATATACCTACCCAATATTGCTCGTTTACCTGCACCGTCGTTCCTGTACAACGGTGACACGTCGTGTCATTATCGTGTATTGTCACCGCATCCCCCGACATGTCGCGTGCGTTCCTCGTCGTACGACAACGACAACTACTCGGTTTTATCATAATACTTGTTGATGTGTTGCCGCCCGCCTTACGTTTGTTTTTCGTCCGTGTTTTCAGCTCCGTCTAGCCCGGTGCACAACCGGCGTCTACTGTCCACCAGGACCATACGGATGAGCTCCGTCGAGTTACCCGACGACAACGATAAATCACTGTCGTCGGCAAGTACGTCTCCGTGCCCGTCGCCGGTGAGATATTCACAAGTACAGTATTACAATAATTATACACACGTGTCGCGTACACAATAATATAATTATTCGATTGTAATATATTAATATGATTACGATACAATGCACAATAGTATGATACCTGCGCAGCGCCTTAAACTATAGACGTGTGAGATCGCGCGTGCGCAGTACACCGAGACAACCCGCACTCTACCCAGAAATTTGTTTTCGTCCTATTTTCAGAAACCGCACAGGCTGTTACCGAATAATCTCTATGTGGTGCTGTACAATTTCAAAGCCCGCCGGGAAGACGAACTGGATTTGAAGTGAGTACACCAACATAATGAATATAACTAGTTTCGAGCTATGTAATCAGTCATTACACATTACATTTTGCAGCGCGTGTGTGATATTAGATTTTAGGTCGAACTACGGTTTAAAATGTATAAGTTTGACGGTTTAAATAATGAAAAAAAATTATTAATTACTATAATAGGTATCGCCATTTTTGACGTCCGTACTCAAAATGTCATCACGTTTTACGTTTATTGATCAAATGAGGATTTTACAAAAAAAAACGGATTTCGTGTGTTACAATATTAAATAATATGTAGATGGTACCTATTAGATAGACACTATTGTTATTGCTAATGCTCATAATAAATGTGTATATTATAATATTAACTCGACCCACAGCCAATATCGATAGGACAAGAACAATCAAATTAATCTTAGTCCACGTCAATATAATAAAGCGGTTCAGGTAAGACGCAGTTTTTGAATAATATGGAACAATACCAGGCAAAATCCAAGTAAAATAAAAAAAATTTATTGAATTACAATCAACATATTATTATGTATCCTGCTTCAACAATAAATCCCATAAAGTATAAACAATTATGCCCTCCTCCACATTCTCAGTAAGCTTGAATCTGGTCGTCGAAATGAATGATAACTCTTTCTCTGCAGACGTCTCGACCTAACGATTGTGCTGATTACCCGTTGAATTTCCCTCTTCAGGTCAGCCACCGTATGAAGTTTGTTCACGTACACAATTTACTTTAGATAATATTCCCATAAAAAGAAGTCACATGATGTGAGATCACGTGCAAGGTGATTGCGTGTATCCCGTGACCCATGATATGTGGCTCGTAACCTCGTCCTAATGAAACCTATTCCAGATATTATTTTTCATAAGTCATAATTAAATCGGAATAGGTACTTCCTTTTTTTTTCCCATCCACTTATTTCCATACTTACTACTTCCATATTATTTATTCAAGTGGATGAAACATGTGTAGAATACTTACAAAATACCCGAATCTCTCCCCCGCCCAACAACTTATTCTAAAAGACTTCGAACACTTATTATGAGCTGCGTATGTATGATGTTACCACAGTGTCTATAGATAATTGATATATGCAAGATGTCGATAGACGCACTTTACCTGTTCTTAATAATTTGAAAGATATAAAACGATGTTTTAATCCAAATTTGTTTTATGTGTGTGTTTAGGGCGGGATACAAGGTCACAGTTATCGACACGTCAGACCCGGCATGGTGGAAGGGTAAATGTTTCGGTCGCGTCGGTTACTTTCCGTACAACTACGTGACCAAAGTGCAGCCAGGCGAGAGGCCGTGGCAAGTCACAATCAATTTACAGGTGTTGGACGTTGACAATAATCCACTCACATTGCTGAGAGACCAGGTAGGCGCCTAAACCGTCTTAATTTACCTATCTCATTATTAGTACTATTCACTATTATACAACCTGCTAATGCCTCCTCCCCCCCCAACAATATATCTGATCGTTGGTAATTCAACTGTCGTCAAATCGGCGTTGGTGATACTCTCCTCTCTTGGCTGACCTCTTACATATCTGATGCACTCCGAGCCACGAGAGAAGGAACCCGTTTTGCGCATGCAGACTGTGGACATTTCCCCACTTTGTGCCATTTAGTGTATGTAAAATACTTGACGATGCGTGGAATCGAAGGTGTTTCGGTCGGAACACGGGTTCCTTCTCTCGTGGCCGAGGAGTATAGAAGACAATTCGTCAATATGTTTAACTCTAATTTAGCTCTGCGAGACTGCACATCTAGTCTCAAACCAAGCGAGTTTCCTATACAAAGATCTTGGAATTCGCCTTTCTCAGAACTTTAATCATCACATTATCACTACCTACCGTTAATAAAGCAACCACCGTTATGGGTTTTATTAAACACAATACTAAAATGTTTACCTCCATCAATTTTCCTTTGTATACCTACTTTCCATTGCATTAGTTTTGTCTACATTGGAGTACTTACGGTTCAATTATTCGGAAATTGGAAAGAATATTGAAAAGAATTCAAAATCATGTAAGATTAGAACGTGTAAAAATAGATTCCTCTCTTATACAACATAATAATATATACTAAAAATTAACCACCCGCTCCATGATTACTCACTCATTCGGCCACACTCATAGACCTATAAAATAATTCTTTCATAGGTCTATGGTCAATTACCTCTATTATCATCTCGTAGTTTTATCACCGACGTCAAGTTAATATCTTCCATTCTCAACAGCCATTGGATGTATACAATCTCATTCGCAATAAATAAAATAAAATTATAATATTTTAACCATAGTGCGCATTCGCGACCAGTCGTGAAATACCGATTCTCGTACCGCGGTCGTGGTTGTATTATTATTAATTATTGTTAATATCGAAATATCGTGTTCTACACTGTGACGATATTTTAAAATCGGTTATACATTTGATTAATTATTAAACTATTTGCGTTGATGTTGCGCCTCGGCAATAACTTTTCAGTAAAAATTAATTTACCTTTTAATTAATCATAATAATTCATTACAATCACTTAATGTTTTTTTTTCAATTCAGCAGCTCCTCATCGCCATTTTTACAGCCGTGTTATTAATTAATCAGCGTGTTTTACTCTTATTCAAATAATTAAGTTTCTCTTTCCTCCCTCTCCATACCCTTTTACCAACGAAAATGTTTTTACATCGTATACGAACAATATTTCGCACCATAGTGTTTCTTTTTAATCTTTTCAATCGAAACTCACAATACATTAGTAAACGTAAACCTATACTATATAAATATGTTTTTTCTTCACTTATTTATTATAAACCATTTTTTCATTACCAATATTGCTGGAAATCAATTAATTTGGTTAACATAATAACATCACAGGAACAATATTAGCTGAAAGGAAAAATTAATTATGACAAGCATAGTACTCTCGTATAGTTTTTTTAGAGTTGTACCCAGATCAATTACGTTTTTGATAATTTACCTTCATGGCACAAAAAAATTGACGTTAACTTTAGGGCATGTGGTATGAACCTAAATCCTAAAAGCGAAAAATATAATAATGATAATTTATCTGACTCTTGACGCCTATTGCGGTTTATCACTTTAGCGTAAATTACTATTATACTTCCATTTCGTGAATTAATCGTCGCTTAATATATTATATAAATTTAAATATATTATCATCCCACGTATACCGTTGTACAGGTAGGTACCACAGCTACACGATAACCAGCCAAACAATAATTGCGGGGAATTAATATTATTATACATTAACACTGCTGCGGTTGTGTTTCTGTGTGCCTACTCAAAACGTTATTTCCAACACATTCCCTTTTGGCCCATTATTTTACATCAAACAGTATAATATACTATTATATTCTGATATGTATATTCATTTTACGCGTATATATACTATATAGGTTATCGGAATGACAAAACATTCGTTTTGCACTTACACCGTCCCCTGATGTTCATACTTTGGCGGTTAAAATCTATTTATTCCTATTCGTACCGTTTTCGGTTATATATTATTATAACAGTATACCATCAAACGCACAATTAACACAGATTTTAATGAAAACGTTTTCGGACATTTATTTGTATACATTTGCTGTGTCTACTATATTTGTACACGATGAAATAATATATCTTCTCCGCATGCATTAACTAACTCTTAACATGAAGGAAAATATTCGGTTTAGATCCCGAACAAAGCAATAAGCAATTGTTTATGCAATTGTATAATATGGGTAATTTTTTTTTTTAAATTTTTTTCAAAATCACGTCTCTTGAGAGTATAAATAACATTTAAAAATGTGTCATCACTCATCAATCATAAACTAGGCACGCATAAACTATAAATTGCACCGATTTCAACAAATTGTACTACAAAGAAGTTAGTTTTAAGAAAGTTTTTGAGAAAAACGCAAATGTGGTGAGAACTGTCATGGAATGCAACCACATTAGCTTTTAACCAAACTTGACTACAGTTGTAAGCCAACAAAAAATAATAACACGTTCAACATTATTTAAATCACCTTTATCAAACATTGAAGTGAGCGAAATCCAAGTGTGATAATAACTGATATTGCAGTTAGATAACAAATCAAAATTTTATTTTATATAACTAGTACATTCTGTAAGTCTTGCCATTTATAAGTCTGTAATAATATATTATATGCATATATATTCATTCATAGAATGAAATATAGATTTAAATATTAGTTTGTGCTATACTGTTATATATTGAAACAATACCTCAATAATGTCGACAAGCAAAACAATAAATATATTATTCTTATTACTGATTAGGGAGAGGGTCCAATCATTTCATATATGGAGTCCATTTTATTTACCTAACTGCTTGGTCGTGACCGAATAAATGCTGTACCCAGCCCACTCCGGGTTATTATTAAGTGCCTAACGTTATAAATCGAGTTCGAAATCGTTTTTATAAAATATAAACTATATGTTCTTATCCACAATGTCAAAATTGTTTTCTGTCAGACTTTTATTTGAACAGTTTATTTAAATTATAAAAATAAAAGTTATTTCATTATAAAATTCGCCAACATGATTTAATTTGATCGCGTTGTAATGTTCTAAGACTAATACTTAAAACAAAAGAACAAAATCCAATTATATAACACTGTGTTATGCTACAGCGACGAACATACCGGAAAGTTAAAAAATAATTTCAAAAGATAAGTAAAGGATTGCGATCGTTCTAATAATTTGCTGTTTGTAAATGAAGCAATCTGTATTCAAATTAGGTTGTAAAAAAACTGCAATCTAGTTATAATACTATATATATATGGGTGTGTGTGTGTGAGAGAGAGATGTACGAACCCGTGTTTTTCCCAAGTCATTTTTTCTCGTTCAAAATCTATGTTTTATATTATTATGATAATTTACCCATCAATACGATATTGTTCAAAAATAAAATCGAATTACTACGAATTTATCACAAATAACTTTGCTAGAATATGGGCTCTATATTTTAATATTTCATCCATTTTCTGTGTAATAATATATTGTATTGTTTTCTAATAGTACATACTTCAAATATGTTTTTAAATTATAACTTTAATTAGGATGAAATTGTTGTTTCCGCTGTTTTTAGACTTTAAGTCTCTTTTTATACACAATGCATATATAGTGTATGTATATATAATCTAATATAATATTATATACTTACTCTAATTAGTATAAAATATACTTTATACGCCAGTAGTTGTAGTTGTGTCCGTCCGTCCAGATGACTCGTTACCATTGTTACAAAACGCCATTGTTTCCAGCTCCCCAATTCCATATTGTATTGTTATTAAATTAAGTGGCAAAAACAGTGGAAGTTATTAAATTAAAAAAAAATTATTAAGTGAAGTTGTTTTAAGTAAAATTCTCTGAAAACAATTGATAATCGACTGACTTTTGTAATTTAAATTATCGTTATTTTCTCAATTTAACCTCACAAATTAAACCCAAGTGTAAATAATTGTACTTTAATTATTTCATCTTTTCTAAGCGATATTTTATAGTTTTGGTTTTATTTAATTGTGTACCCATAAATCATGTACTTGCGGTAACCACATACTTGGCATGTAGAATGTATAATATATGCTCTTCTTTGCTCGTTTTTTTTTTTCATATTTTCTCTTAAATAAAAAATGTTTATATACAGAATTTTTTTTTACGTTGGTGAATAAATGAATAACAAAACAATTTTTTGAGTTAAAACATAAAGTATAACATATACATATTATCACTTTGCATAAGACCCCGGACCATAAATCAGTAGATAAAATAATATATAATTGAAATACACGATTTACAAATATTCCGATTTGTATACGTCATCGTTATATCAAGCGTTTCGATCGAATTTAATAACCACCTGCAGGAGATACGATTGGTAGATAAGAACTGTGTAAATATATTATTCTTGTAATGTTTTTTTCCGTCTGAAGCAACCTTGAATTTTCCACTCGTATTTTATAGGTAATAATATTGTTAGGCGTGGCACTTGTTTACGTATATAGGTACCGGGAAAATACACGACTAACCAACTCCTGCGGCTGCATTGTCTCGTGGTTAGGTTTTATCGATTTCGTACCGTTCCCTGATTATAATATAATATAATTCGTTTTTCGTCAAATAAGTGAGATAGGTTCGTAGCGGGAGTGCGCATACTATGAAAACCGTTTTTGTGTATATTACTCGCTGTATATCATATACGTTAGGTACGCTATAATGTTTGTGTTTTCGTTCGTTTGAAAATTAATGTATTTACGTTGTATAGTATTCTGTGACGTTACTTTAGAACCTAGTAATAATAATAATAGGTTGATGAAAATAATTAGCCCAGCGGCGTAAAAATAAACGATGGTTATAACGGTAACAAAACGTGATAAGTCCGAGGATGAACTTACTTCTCGAATTCAATTGATAGTATTATAATATCATATTGTATATAGGTACCTCTAGAGCATCATTGTCCTTTGGCCAGTGTGTGATCACGACAAACGAACGGAAGTAAAAATTCTTTTTGCAAGGTGTCTTTTTAAAAGCCAAGAGTAAACAGTTCTTAAGTTCTTCAAAAATACCGAAAAACAATCAGAAAATTGGTTATATCTAAAGAGACTACAAATAATTTCCGCTGATAAATTCAAACTAGTTGTCTGTATTATACCTATAGGATTGTTTGAGATGTTCGATATTCGATCACATTACATTATACTGTGTTCAAACACAGAAAATATAGGGAGAAAAAAACCATTTCAAACATATTTTGTGCTGTTTGACCAACTACAATTTCAGTTCAAACGATTTTCGGTATATCTATGATTGTTTTATATTCGATATTCGTAAATAGTACGTTATAATATAGACATTCGGAAAATATAGGGAGAAAACCCATTTTGAACGTCTGTGCTGTTTGATAGTTTTTTTTAAATAGATGCCTATTGTATTATATTATATTATACAACAGTAATAAATAATGTGAAATCTTATCTCGCGAGTGATGGGTACATAATACATTAAAACTTGGATCCGACGGGCATCGGTACTATGATATTGCAGTTATCAGTATCCGTTATCAGACGCTTTGTGTATACTCGTATTGTATTTTCACGTGTTGAACCGTGCCAAAGTTACAATATAGATATATATATATATTTATGGATTCCCGGTAGCAGATAATGAGGTACCTTCACCCAAGATTGTTCACGTTTTGCAGCGTTTCACTGTCTCACACTAGCTATATTCCGGGCGAGGTCAAAAAAATAATAAATTCTGTGATATTGTTATGGTGCAAGAGGAGTAGGTATTATAGACAATTAAAATTTTAATTACGTTTCATTTTTAATAATAATAACAAAAAATAAAAACAATTATTCCGAAATTATTACAACACGACCATACTCCATTTTTTGGTGAAAATAAAACTGGTATCATTAATTAAAGCACAGCGTGTTACACTAATTTAATTAAAACATTCCAAATTTATAAAAAAAAAAAAAAAATTAAATGTAAGGTTTGGTGATGAAGATTTTATATTACATATTATAATTTAATAGACCCGGGTACGATTTCCTTTTATTTTATTCTTATTTTATTTTAATTTTTTGTAGATATTTAAGCTTTCCACCAATAAAACGAAACGTTCAACATAAGACGAATCTTAGGTTTATTTTTATTTTCGGAAAACCCCTCCCCGCCAATCTTCGTGTCACCGATCATCGTTATTCGCTCAATTCTATTTTACTTATTTTGGAAATATCGCCATCCGAATACAATTTATATTAAACAGTGATTTATCCTTTGTTGTTGTACTTCAATAGTTTTAGAACGCAAACGAATTAGTCGAAAATAGTAAGTCACTTTGACCTCTCCGAAGTACGCAACTAACCGTTCGGCCGTCAATAGCACGGGCAACCGAAAACACTGAAAATCAATTCCGTCGAGACGGCAATATGCTATTCGTCCATCGCGTATCGCACAACTCCAGTTACCCAAATTACCCAGACCCTGGCGCGTTTCCGAGCAACTGGAATAATTGGACCCATTGATAATAACGGTCCGTCAGGTTTGACATCTCTTGGCTTTTGTTTTTTTTTCTTCAGTCATTTCACATTTGAAATGATAGTAAGTTAAGTACTCGGAAACGGACATGTCAAAACAATAATATTATATAATATTATAGTATTGTTAAGACTTATAAAACAATAATAGCGTAATATTTCGTGGGTCAAGATAATATTATTATAATAATTGAACGTTTTAATAATATTATGTAGTTTCTACGCAGCAATGTACCTATATTGCCTATACACTGCGCCGTGTTACGCTGTCTACAACATCGACACAGCTGTAATACTATTATGTTATAATATTACTAGCTGATCCCGTGCCCTTTGTTGCCCGTTAAATGTATCAACTCTATATGACTCAGACTTTGTTCAATTCGTTATTTAATATTCGGTGTACGGTGCTCAAAATGTATCTTATCTTTTCTGTTGCCCGGAATAAAAATTCTGAATCGCAGCAGTACATTATCGGGTAGGCAATCTACTTGCGGTAGATAGCGGACCCCTTGCAGTTTGTACGTAAGTGTATGATTCAACTCTCTCTTAAGTATCAAAGTTATACCAAGTTTGTCGTTTATACTTAATTCCACCTACGGTTGATTAAAATAATCAATTTATTCAATCCCATTAAATATAATTTATATTTAAAAAGTAAAGCAAATATTTTTTTTTATTATTATTATTATAATAGCTTAAAAACCCATGGCAACCATTTATAAACAAAATTTCCATCTGAAATCTCAAAATTCCCGTTTGAGCACCTCCCAGGGTTGGTCCTCTGCCTTTTTAAATTAGCCTATGTTTTCATTTGGACCAAAATACACACAGTGTAATAATTTCATCAAGATAGGTCCAGTAGTTTTTACGTGAAAGAGTAACAAAGTCACAAACTTTCGCGTTTATAATATTAATAGAATTCATATTGTGTATTATTGTAATTTATTATGACAAGTTGTAAATCAACGATTATATTTACTACTGATTGCATTGGAACCGATAATACAATTAGCGGCTATTAAGCACAGTACTGTTTATTTAAGAGGTATTAAAAATTTCACACGTAAATTCTACATTGGTAATGGCAGTGTATTAAATCTCAAAGAATATCGTTTTCTGGTTTGTAACTAAAATAATACAATTTCAACTAAATAACCAAAATCGATTTTATTCGATACGAGTTTACGGGCTACTTCGCATATTCATCGAACTTCGTTTTTTTTACAATTTTTTTGTCAGATTCCCTTACTATACATTAAAACGAATCGACTGTAAGATCTAAAAATAAACGCAAATAACATCCAAAATACGGAATATTCAATCTGAAAAGTAGCTTTAAAAGAAACTTTTTGTGCTTTATTTTAAATTAACATTTTCTTCGTTCTAAAACAGTAAAAAAAACCTCAAATGACTATACTATACTCGTTTTATATACCATCTGTATATATAAAAGATGTCCTGACTGACTAATCAACATACAGCCAAAACTATGATATGCAATATAGACTTGAAACTTTCATGGTGCAATAGGGTATCGATGCACTAGAAAGGATTTTTTAAAATTGGTATCTTAAAAATGGGGCATACAAGGATTTTGTTTCGGCAAAACGAAATCGAATATTTTTTTGTGTATATATGGTTGCCAATGGTTAAAGTAAATAAAATAATTTATTATAAATAAAAAAGATAAATGAATAGCTGTAAATATTATCCAGTATTATCCATATTAATTATAAGCTGTGTAAAGTGAATAAATAAAAAAAAATATAATATGGTCCTAATATAGGTAAAACGTATACGAATGAATGTTTCTCTGTGTGATCAATTGTCCTCCACATAGTTATAAACTACAGGACCGTTTTCAATAAATGTATTATCATTAAATTCCATAAGACCAAGAGGGTATTATAATTACCCATTTACCTAGTTAATAATATTATTAATAGTTAATCTCGTATGTATTTAGTTTTGGCTTACAAAAATCGAATATTTTTTGGTTTGAAATGGTGGCCATTGGTTACAGTTTATATAGATTATATTCCTATTAAAATTAGTAAAAATATGGTATAAACATTGTTTTACAAATATATTTGAAAAAAATCAAATACTTATGAACACAATTGTTACAATAACTACTTTTATGATTTGTTTCTCAATATTGACATATTTTTTATGTAAACACTAAGTGTTTGTCTTGAACACTAATCTTAACGATATCCGATTTAGTTCGTCTTTTAAGCACTCGTTGAATTTGTCTTCATTATTTTTTGAGTTGAGATCAAAAATATGTTCAGAATATAAAAAGTGTTAAACCATAATATCGACCGTTGTAATAATTGTGTTTGTAATGTTTGTATTGTATATTTCAACTGAAGCAAAAAGGAAAAATATAGGAGATGGATTAATTTCCATCGCAGGTGAAGTCGGATGATAATATATACAGCTAGAATTTTATGTAATTTATTCGTTTGGTACCTACAACGAAAGTAATAATATACTTTTGTATGAAAGCGTGATTTTGTGAACATGTTTCTGGTGCTGGCGTGAGGACGTTCCACCATATAGTAATTATGTCGCATCATTGTATGTACATTACTTGCGCCTACTTAGAATATTCACCTCGCGTACTCTGGCTAGCTGTGAAGACGATATCTGACGTGTTTCGTATGTTTGTTAACATATAGATCGTTATCCAGATCGGCGAAGGACCAGACGGTTCAGTAATGATCAGAAACGCGGAGAACAAACAGGGCATGTGCCCGGTGAAGTTCCTGCAGGAGGTGTGACAATCGGGTGAGCGATACGTGACGCATCGCTTCTCCATGTCTCGACGTCCCTTCTTGAGCCCCTGTAAGTATACATAATTCATAATATTATATTATATAAGTTTACTAGTTTTGAGGTGCGAGATTCCCCGATGATTCTCGCGTTAATTTTATTCCTTTAACGTCAATATCGATTTATGTAAACGTGACTTTCTGGATTTTTCAGTTCACTGCTTGCTTACAATAATTATAAATAAACAATTAATGTCCGATTAAAATAACATAATGTGAATGACTGGGCGGCAATCTTGGTGAATCACCATCACTATACGTATTGTACACAATATATACACACATATTATGTTTCTTCTATCAAATGCCTATGTAGTTCATTGTCGTTCATAATCACTAATAATTTTATGTCATTGTATATACTATATAGTGTATTATTGTATAAATTGAGGGAGCGATGAATGTACTGATTTTACAAGTAAAAAGTAAAAATATCACGAAAATGTGCAAATTACTTTGAGTGAGAAATGCATAAAAAAAATTTCTATTTAAATCTAAGATTTGAAAATGTAATACAAGATTCCTCATAAGTTTGCCAAAAAAAAGTCTACAAGCAAATCAAATTAAATTTTTATGAGCGTTTGAAGTTCATATTCTTACAAGATTGGATATTCACTCGATTTCTCATGTAGTGATCTTGTTATTTTGTTGTAATTCAAAAACAAATAACTATAGATACATGGAAATTTCCCTGAATATTTATATTTTCATTTTCTATTCACCATACAATTTTGAAAATATTTTGAGTCTTTGAGTTGTTTACGGATATTGTCAGTTTTCAATATTTTTAGTTTTATTTTTCTATAACTGTCAATAAAATTTTATTTGTTGAGTAAAAATGCATTAAAATTTAATACAAGGCTCCTGCTATAATGCTTACAATAGCAGTTGAAAAATATTAAAAAGTATAACATTGTCACATTTTATACTGTAACCAAAAAATCTAAAAATATATTAAGACATTTTAAGTTCAAATTTAGACGAATTTACATATTAAAACCAAGAATAAGGGTTTTATTTATTTTGTTGTAGTTTCAAAATATTATTTGTGGGTGTATGAACTTTTATAGTAGATTATTATACTGCAATTATAATATGAATTGTTTTGGCAAAAATGAATTTAACCTTCTGTATTAATACCTAATGCCTATAATAGTAAAACAAATTACTTTATCACAATAATATTATAAAATATACTTATTATAGGCTGACAGTCCGTCTACTCTCAGAATCGTTTTTCGTATACAATGGTTTTATATCATTGGATTCAAATTTAACACATCCATTACAGTATGACTCTCTAGACACCTAATATGCAGCAGAGCGTTACCTACAAACCCACTTCTTATCTGTTAAACTTAAAACGTGTCAACATATTTAATGTTATTACAATTTTTTTTTTGTTACATTGGTATTTAAGTATGGATGTTACTCAGTACTTATATTATGCGTGTCATAGTATAATATTTAATGATAGTCCATATAGGACTGATATAGCACGTTTGTGTCCCGTCCCTCATACCACTCGTTTGGGCGCAACAACAATTTATCGAGTTTCGTGGAAAATGGAGTTTCCATGTATACTAGTCGAGATTTAGACTCGATTTAAATGACTAGGGATAGTCAGCACCGAATACTAATATACTAGCGAGAAGGAAAGAACGATATTCCTTGGCATGGAAATTGAAAATCGATCATTATCATTGGTTTAGGTATGTTGTTAGCCTCGAGTTAATACACGTATATGAAAATATAAAATTATATTAGCTCATTTAAATTTCTAGTCCAGGATTCTGGGACAGTTGCGAATTATTATAAATTTACGTAAATATATACATGGGTCTAACCACTCTAACCAGTATAATCTATACGTTTTCCGAATAAAATACAACTGCCTCAGTCTGGCCTCGAGGTTACACAGACATACAGTACGTTGTGTCATCAAGACCCAATGTCAAATCCCGCCTGTCGGCTGTCCATAATAATATACGCCTACTTATATATTATATTATTAGATAGTATCTACCGTAACATGATATGTGTGTATAATGACGTATACGATTCCCCCGACCTGGTGCTACTGTGCAATAAGCTATAAATCGTAGTCCATAATATATAATATTATTATTATGATATATTAATAATATCGTCTCATATTCGTTTTTTTTTTTTTTTTTCCCAACAGCTTTGCCCTCGGACTACGAGAGATACGACGACGACCGGCCTTGCGGCCGTCGACATTCCAACTCGCAGAACCGACCGCTGTTGGTGATCGGTCAACGTTGAAACAATCCGCGACGCCGAATTATACACACACACACACACAAACACACACACACATACATTCATACAAACACTCACATTTACACACACACACACACATGCGCACACGCACACGTATTATATATATATATTATTATATGCAAGCACATAAGCAGGTACCGCTGTTCTCTACCCCCTCGACAGCATCCTCGAACAACCCCCTCGCGCCCGAGGAAACTAGCCCACTCACCCACCCCCCCCCCCCAAACTACTACCGGAGTTGTTAAATTACACCCCCTCCGTCCCTCTCTCCGTCTCTCTACTTTGTTGTGTACAACACAGATATATATTATTATATATTTACGACGACGACGAGACTCCACGAAAATATAATAATTCACCGTGTTGTGCCTGCTCGTTGTGCTTGTATGTGCGACGTGTATGGCGTGTGTGTACGTGTGTGTGTGTGTGTGTTGTTGTTGTTGCTGTTATTACTTATCCAATCGATTTATAGAAAACTGTATACCCTCTTCATATTCGTGCCGCCACTATATTATATTATATTATGTTCTATATAACCCATTCGACGACTCATCTTCATACCCACACACACATATATACGTAAAACTTCTATTTTATACGCGAACGTACATAATAATAACAATATAAATATTATATTATGTAAACAAAAATTACGACCAATTTTCTTGAAAAAAAAAAAAAAAACTAAACGAAAAAAAATGTATTATTCTAGCATATTATTATAAATATGATCTCTCTGTAGTAACATATAATAATATATTTTAGTCTGCAGAGAAAATCGCACTCGTGCGCGAGTGTAAAATCATGAAACATAATCATTTTGTAAGCCTAAAACAGTATTTTAACGTTATATTCATACAATTATATATTATATTACATTAATTATATATATATATATATTATATTTGTATAACGGCCTAGATTTGGATTGTGTTTTACAGGCTGTTCTCACTTATAATTTTTTATTATTTTTTTTTTTTTATTAAAGAAATATTAACAAAACATATTATTATCTCAACCAGGCACTTAGGTGTTTACCTAATATTATTGGCTATAATAATCGTTTAGCTATGCTATGTGTAAATTACATTTTGTCGTACGCTGAGCTATATATTATATATACATATAATAATAATGATAATATATATAATGTTATTTCGTGGTTAAAACTATTAATAATAATAATAATATATATAAGTTATATTATACCTTACGCTGAGTAATACTTTTTGTCCGACACTCGTTTCCTTTATGGACATGGAGGTACTATGCTATATAATATACGTATTATCTAATAATAATATATATTAAATTAAAAAAAGTTTTTGAAAAATAAAAATATTTATATATTTAGGGTATCTCGCGCGTCCCCGCCTTGACCCAAATTAAGTTTTAAAAAAAACAATCTTCGACTGCTGTCTATAATATTATAAATGTGTATATGCATGTTATATAATATTATATTATACATACATATTATAATGGTACTTCCGGAATAATGTATTTATATACGATAATAATAATACGCTACTACCCACCCGCTGACTTTTGAGCTTTTGATACCCGTCCACACCACACACACACACACACGCACACACACACATGTTCACGAACGTCCCAAAAAATATATTATTACGAGTGATCTGTGTAGGTATAAAGTTTATTTTTTGTCATGCCGTGAAACATTTAAATGATACTATATTTTACCATGCCTGAAAAAAAAAAAACAAAAACCAGTGATTCTTATATCCACCATATTTAAGTATTATATTTACATGATAATTTATACTGTATACATAATTATTATAAACAATGCTGTCCTCCACACATTAGTATGGTAGGTATTCAACTAAACGAAATATGAGTGCAACTGTACAAGTGTAATATTTTGTAACATAAAATGCGAACGTTTTTTCCTCGTTTTCGACGAACAGTGATTGTTATAACGCGTGACTAGAGAAGATAACTGATCTTCGCTTTACACTCGACCTAATCAATCGACAGGCATACGTGTTGTACCTATCCATCACAGGCATGCTCATGACATGTTTGGCAGACAGGGCTTTACAACTATTCCACGTGACTACCATCCTGCTATAGCGAAGAAATTCTAAAATATATCCTTCTATTTAGGTAACTATACATAACTCACCATCAGAACATAAGTTTTTGTGACGCACGTAAATCATCCGTATCGAGATACAAACGATCTCTTACTATAAAACCAAACGTGCTTGACAATATATAATGTGGTATTCTGCAAATCGCGAGATTGGGTGTACAACACTTTTAGTGTTATGAGCATACGAGATTGTAATAAATCTTTTTGACTCGATATTTTTGTACTCTTGTATGACCAGATTCCCCACATTAGCGAGCATTGTATCTACCTCGCTTTTGATGTCTGCCTCCCCCTTTTTAAACAACCATAAACACCTCAAATGATTTTTTATGAATTCTAAACACGTTTGGTTTATCATTATTGTTACTTTATACTGTCACTTTAACCATAGTTTAACTGTAATATAATATTAACGTTAGGAATCGGTTTCAGAGTAGGTAACAACGGGTAATAAAAGGGTTAAGCAAACGTACAAATCTTCACGCTAAAAACAACCCAATCAATATCATAATCAGGGACTATG